AAGCTGCCATTATTTAATGCTGTCTTATCCTCCCTTTAGCACAAGAGTGCAAAGTGATGTGTATCTTTTCCATTTTATTGGGAACCAAAATTTAAAAAGAAAGCATTGGTTCTTATAATAAGATCCTGGTAAACAAAGAAGAGTCTGGTAAATGAGTGATATTAACAGAGATTAGAAGAGTCTATTCATTCTTGCCTTTGCCAACACTTTGACCTCAAAAAAATAAAAAGAAGCACCTACTGCCTTGAAAATAAGGTAATATATTTTCTGAAATCCATGTCTCTTCCAGACCCAAGATATCAAGCCTCAGTAGAAAGGCTCACACATTGGGAGTTGGTTATTCAGTGCGAGAAATGGGAGGGAATGTGTTCCAGGAAATCTTGTAGAATTATAAGGATGCACCTATTAGTTTATGTCATTTGGGATTAAGTGATTATAGCTGCAAATTGATTGCATTAACCCTCAATGAACAAACCTAGCTCCAGCGAGTCAAAGATAGTAAGATCTTTTAGCCAGTTTGTCAAGGGTAAAGGAGCCTGTGTGACTTGTGGAACGAGCTAATGCCACGGGGAAGGATTCATGAGAGTCAATGGTTACAGTCAATTACTGCAAACATGACTGCAATAGAGATTAGAGTTAAGCGTTAGTGTAGAATCAGCATGGAAAACACAGGTAGGGAGAATGTGTGTGGGCAAGAATGTCAGGGTGTAACTACACAGAAATTTTGTCAAGGTCCAATCCTGCAGGATCAGCTGGATAAGCTCTGCACTGGCCCCAGCAGGAGGAGCCTATGCTTGAGGGACCCAGAGGATACAGAAACAGAAAAAGAACCACATCACTCATAGGAGACTACTAAGGCAAGTACTAGAGACAAGTGTTAAGTTAAAAAAAAAAAGTGATGCAAAGGTGCAGCTGAGGAAGGCAGGGTCAGAGGCTGCCAGAGGAGGATGGACTCACAAGTAAGGAGCAGCTGAGAGAGGTACAGAAATAAGGCCCTGAATGATCAATTTCCTTTCATTCCTAGATACCCTGGAATAGCCACTTCGAAGAGCTACATGGGGTCAGTTAGCTGATGAGGACCAGTGAAGGAAAGTATGATTTCATAGGGGAGTTCTCATGGTTGAATAAACAGAGGTTTGATAAACAGCATCCACACAAGTGGAATAATCACTGAAGCTCAATAAAGCAATTTCAGAACCTGTTCAAAATGGAGTCCTTTTCTCTCTTTGGACAATGAGTTGGATCTTCACTCTACTGAGGTCAGGAAGAGGGTGCTTGTTTGTTTTCTTGCTTGTTTTGCCAGCTGTATATCTTCTTTCCAGAGAATGATACTGTGATTGTCACCCAGAGATGGATATGAGTGTTAGGACTCTGTCTTCTCATAGGAAGAGAATGAAAATGGTTTCAATTGTACAAAGGAAAGCTGCATCTTGTCATCAAAGGCATAAAGTTGTTTTGTTCCCATATGGAAGTTCAATATGTGTCAAAGGACTGGGTTGTAGAGTAGCTAAAGGGATGGACTAGACTGGTTATAAAGCTATTTTCTCTAGCTGCAAATACACCCTTCTTTGCTGTTTAATGCTGTTGTGCCTACGACTGCAAACCACACTTCCCTTTTGCCAGCTCTCTCTCTTAGGATCTTCTGAAAGGGCATCCACAGGGAGACTAGGAGGCTAACGGGGTGACGAATTTCCTTCCTTATGTTTGCTTTTCATTCCTGTCAGTGTCACCCAAACAACCATTCCTCAATCTGGAATCAAGAGCAAACTTGAGCCAGGTGGTATTTGTTCTCTATACAGAAACCTTACCCTGGTCAGCTCCCACCTCCTCCCCAGAGGTCTGAGTACCAGCTCGGCAGTGATGTCCTCCAAGCCCCTGAAGCTCCAGCACCATCCATTCTGTGCCGCATCCTCAGTGGCCTGAATTCCTGCTCCTTTGGGGTCTGTCTTTGGGACATGTAGATTAAAATAACCCAACAACTTTCTTTCCCATTCCTAGGAGTGGCACTTTCTTCTTGCAATTTCTACCTCTGTAAAACTCCAGTATTCCATTTTTTGTCTTTTTAGTTCTCCTAATCACTGGTTAACAATTTTTTTATATTAAATTATCTTTATTAGAATAACTAGTGTAAAGAAACTTTTTTAGTTTGAATCCATCACATTTATTGCTTCTTAATTTTACTTCTTGCACTTTAGGAGTCTTGTTAAAGAAGCCAGGTCCTAAACCAACATGATGAAGATTTGGTCCTACTTTTTTTGTCTATCAGGCATAGGGTCTCTGTTCTAGTGCCTAAGTCTTTTACCCACTTTGAGTTGCTTTTGTGCAGAGTGAAAGATAGAGGTTTAATTTCATTTCGCTACATATGGATTTCCAGTTTCCCCAGCACCATTTGTTGAAGAGGCTATCTTTCCTCCAAAGTATGTTTTTGGCACTTTGTCTAGTATGAGATAACTGTATTTATGTGGGTTTGTCTCTGTGTCTTCTATTCTGTACCATTGGTCTACATGTCTATTTTGGTGCCAATATCATGCTGCTCTTGTTACTATTGCTCTGTATTATACCAAACAGACACTTCACAGACGAAGATATACACTCGATCAACAAACATACGAAAAAATGTTCATCATCTCTAGCAATTAGAGAAATGCATATCAAAACTACTCTAATATTTCATTTCACACCAGTGAGAATGGCAGTTATCAAGAATACAAGCACTAGGGCTGGTGTTGTGGCTCAGTGGTAGAGTGGCATGTGGGAGGCCCTGGGTTCGATCCTCAGCACCACATAAAAATAAATAAATAAAAATAAAGGCATTGTGTACAACTAAAAGAAATAAATATTTAAAAAATAATACAAGCAATAATAAGTGTTGGCGAGGATGTGGGGGAAAAGATACACTCATGCATTGATGGTGGAACTGCAAATTAGTGCAACCACTATGGAAAGCAATATGGAGATTTCTTAGAAAACTTGGAATGGAACCACCATTTAACCCAGCTATCCCACTCCTTGATTTATACCCAAAGGACTTAAAATCCAGCATACTACAGTGATGCTGCCACATCGATGTTTGTAACAGCTCAATTCACAATAGCTAAACTATGGAACCAACCTAGGTGCCCTTCAACAGATGAATGGATAAAGACAATGGGGTACATATACACAATGGAATATTACTTAGCCTTAAAGAAGAATGAAATTATGGCATTTGCAGGTAAATGGATGGAACTAGAGAATATCATGCTAAGTGAAATAAGCCAATCCCAAAAAACCAAAGGCCAAATGTTTTCTGTGATAAGCAGATACTGGTCCGTAGTCGGGGAGGGGACAGAGAAGAATGAAGGAACTTTGGATTGTGCAGAGAGGTGTGAGGGGAGGGGTGGGGCTGTGGGGATGGGAAGGATGGTAAAATGAGACAGACATTATTATTCTATATACATGTATGATTACACTACCAGTGTGACTCTGCACCATGTACAGCCAAAGGAATAAGAAGTTGTGCTCCATTTGTGTAAAATGTGTAAAAATGCATTCTACTGTCATGTATAATTAATTAGAACACATTTAAAATTTTTTATAATAACTAGTTTGGTTTTCTGATTTTCTACTTGGACTCTGATACTTACACCTTGAATATTCTGACAATGCATTTAGAAAATTGAGCCTTTCCCCCAATTGAAAAATGCTTCTGTAATTTGGGTGTCCATATGTCCCAGATTCCCTGGAACAATTTTAGTTTCTGCTTGTTGTCCTGGCATACTTATTAATAGTGCTCTCCTCATTCAAAAGCATTTCTATTTGGGCAATGAAATTACATGGCTGACTCAGATATAAGGAGTCACCATTATTGATGGAACTGTGGGTTAAGGAGGTGAATCTACGTAGGCATTTTCTTCCTTAAATGTCTTGTCTTTGAACACAATGCTGTGTACCAAGATGTTAAATCTTTAGAGTTTCTCTGTGGCTCTCCATCCTGGCTGCACCAGAATACTGGGAATGCAAAACTTTGATTTACCACCTAGAATGACACAATGGGATTCAGCAAACCAAAAACTTGTTCTGGTGATATCAGCTACAATTTGAAAAATCTCTCCTTGATAGATGTTTATCACATTAGCCTGTATAATGCTAGTGAGTAGATATCTGGCCACTACTTCTGTTTTCAATCCCACAGCTCTGGGTAGATTGCTCTGACAGCTGACTTATTTGCACATGTTATGTGGTCTGTGTCCTTGCTCTTTTCCCAGTGTTCCTGTTCCTTGAACTTCCCAATTATATGAACTAGTCCATTCTCTTTATTCCTAAGCCACTTTGTTGTGTTGGATTTCTCACCAAGAGGGTCTGGGAGCAGCAACATCCCAGTAACTGTGAAAATACCTAACACCCAGATCCTGGCTACTAAATAACAATTCTCCCTCTATTAAAAGAAAACAGGATACTTAGAGGAATGACTGACTTTAGAGCTGATGCAGGGAAAATACAAGATGATCCAGGAATATATTTTTGTACCTGAAAATAAGGAAGTATTCAAAGACTGATAGGGACATAACAAGTTGGGTACAGAAATTTAATTGGAAAAAAGTTTCCACTAACTAAAAGGGTGGAAATTGGAAGATCAAAATAAATACAGAAATCAATAGATAATAACCAGTTGAATAAGACAGGAACACTTGAGTCCATGTTAATTTCCATGGACTGGATTGTGTTCTCCCAAAATTCATTGCTGAACTCTAATTTTCAATTTGAAGATAAGTATTTGGAAATAGGATATTTACAAGGTAAAGTCTGATCATAAAGGTGAGTCCTAATCCAATAGGATTGGTGGCCGCGGCGGCTGGTGTGGGGTTGAGTCAGTTGTGAGACCGGAGCTGCGGACCTAGCGCCGGCCACCGGAACCGCGACACGGCCCAGGCGCCCGGAGCTGGCCCCGTCCTAGCGCCGCCGAGCGGCGCAGTCGTCCGGCCCAGCAGCACACGGCCGCCGCGGGCGCGCCCCCGCTCTGCGCTGCCTCCGATGGCGTCCGCCTCCGGGTTCATGGCGAAGCACGAGCAGATCCTGGTCCTCGACCCGCCCACAGACCTCAGATTCAAAGGCCCCTTCACAGATGTAGTCACTACGAATCTTAAACTCCGAAATCCGTCCGATAGGAAGGTGTGTTTCAAAGTGAAGACTACGGCACCTCGCGGTACTGTGTGCGGCCCAACAGTGGGATCATTGACCCAGGGTCCACTGTGACTGTTTCAGTGATGCTGCAGCCCTTTGACTATGATCCCAATGAAAAGAGTAAACATAAGTTCATGGTGCAGACGATTTTTGCTCCACCAAACACTTCAGATATGGAAGCTGTGTGGAAAGAGGCAAAACCCGATGAATTAATGGATTCTAAATTGAGATGTGTTTTTGAAATGCCGAGTGAAAACGACAAGTTGAATGATATGGAACCTAGCAAAGCTGTTCCACTGAACGCATCTAAGCAAGATGGACCCATGCCAAAACCGCACAGTGTTTCACTCAACGATACCGAAACAAGGAAGCTCATGGAAGAGTGTAACAGACTTCAGGGAGAGATGATGAAGCTGTCAGAAGAAAATCGACATCTGAGGGATGAAGGCTTGAGGCTCAGAAAGGTAGCACATTCGGATAAACCTGGATCCACCTCAACTGCGTCCTTCAGAGATAACGTCACCAGTCCTCTTCCTTCACTTTTTGTTGTAATTGCAGCCATTTTCATTGGATTCTTTCTAGGGAAATTCATCTTGTAGAGCGAAGCATGCAGAGTGCTATTTCTTTTTTTTTTTTTTTTTTCTCTTGACCAGAAAAAGATTTGTTTACCTACCATTTCATTGGTAGTATGGCCCGCGGTGACCATTTTTTTGTGTGTACAGCGTCATATAGGCTTTGCCTTTAATGATCTCTTACGGTTAGAAAACACAATAAAAACAAACTGTTCGGCTACTGGACAAATTGTACATTACCAGATCATCACTAGCAGATGTCAGTTGCACATTCAGTCCTTTATGAAATTCATAAATAAAGAATTGTTCTTTCTTTGTGGTTTTAATAAGAGTTCAAAAAAAAAATGAATGTGAGGACACATTAAGAAGGTTCTCATCTAGGGGCTGAGATTGTGGCTCAGCGGTAGAACGTTTGTCTAGCACGTAGGAGGCACTGGGTTCCATCCTCAGCAACACATAAAAATAAATAAAATAAAGCATTGTGTTCAACTACAATTAAAATTTTTTTTTAAAAAAAGAGGGTTCTCATCTATAAGTGAGAAACAAATCCTCACCAGAAACAGGACCATGCTAGAATCTTAAACTTTCCAGCCTCCCAAACTGTGAGAAAATAAATTTATTTTGTTTAAGCCATCCAATCCATTTATGGCATTTTGGTATGGCAACCACAGCAGACTAACACACTGATATTAATTAATTAGTTAATATGTAATATAATTTTTATATAGTATTATAATTCGTTCCCCTCAAAATACTTACTAATTATCAAGGGAAATAAAGTAATTTGTGCTAGAGAAGCCTGCAGACACCACTGAATCAGGTGATGAAAGTGAACATTCCTGGTACTATGGTTTGCATGAGGTCTGTCCCCCAAGCGTACGTGTGTTTGAAACTTGGTCCCTACCATGGTGATGTTGGGAGTGAGTATGGACCTTTAAGAGGTGGATTTTAGTGGGAGGTTGTTAGGTCATTGAGGGTGCTGCTGTCAGAAATGATTAATTAACCCATTATGTTCTAGTGTTCCATGTAATGCGTTAAGGTGGTTTTTATGGGATCCTGAGTTAGTTCCCATGAGAGCAAGTTGGTATAAGAAGCAAGCCTTTGACCCTTTGACCACCAAACCCTACTTTTGGCAACTGAATCTGAAATTTTCAATGGAACACCCACCCTTGTCTTCTTCCATCACTTCTGCCTGGCAAACCCCTGGTCTGCCTCTTTCAGACATACTCTCTAGGAAGTGGCCAAGTCATCTTGGATAAAAATTACACTGTTTTTTTTTTTTTTTTTAAATCACACAATTGAGTATACTGGTGTCACCTAAACGTGTGGTCTACAACTCACCTGAAACTCATCTATTCCATACAAATTTATTAAGTGGCTACTCTGTGCCACATAATATTTTTTTAATATTTATTTTTTAGTTTTAGGTAGACACAATATCTTTATTTTGTTTTTATGTGAATCGAACCCAGTGCCTCATACATGCTAGGCGAGCTCGCTACCACTTGAGCCACATCCCCAGCCCCAATCTGTGCCACATAATCTTTTTTTTAAAGAGAGAGAGAGAGTTTTTAAAAAATATTTATTTGTTAGTTTTCAGCAGACACAACATCTTTGTTTGTATGTGGTGCTGAGGATCAAACCCGGGCCACACGCATGCCAGGCGAGCGCGCTACCACTTGAGCCACATCCCAGCCCTGCCACATAATCTTTTAAGTGCTTGGGATACATTAGTGAGCCAAACAAAGTTCCTGGCCTCAAAAACTTGCACCAAAAACTCTCTCCCATTATCAACTTCTTTTCTCATACTAAAAACTACTTCAAACCTTCACCTCTTTCTTCTACTTTTGGCTCCCTGCCTGAGAATGATGCTAGCCTCCCATTTCACAGAGGAATAAGAAGTCACCTAGGGACTGGGGTTGTGGCTCAGCGGTAGAGCGCTCACCTAGCACATGCGAGGCCCTGGGTTCAGTCCTCAGCACCACATAAAAATAAATAAATAAAGATATTGTGTCCAATTAAAAAATAAATAAAAAGAAGAAGTCACTTAAAGGGAATTTGTCATCCTCAAGTCCTAAAAAATATTGAGACTTCCTTCATGTTACAGCAAGAGTCCTGCAAGCTAGAACCCATGCCCTTACTTTCCACATCCCAGCACTTTTCACACTCTGTTGTAACTTGTAACTTAATTATCTATTTTTCCTGAGGTTGGAGAACCTGTCTGTGTTGCTCATGGCTCTCTCTATCCCCAGCAGCTGGTGTTTATCATCCATTTGATATTCAATAACATGAAAGAACGAGAATCCTCAAGGACTCACACCTGGGAAAGAAAGAGACCATGCTCTGGGATGAAGCCACTTCCCAGGCAGAGGCTGAAGGATGGCTTCCTAGAGGTAACCAGCTAGCTTCACATCTGGAAGCTGCACTGGCTACAGGGCTTCTGAGAGGCGGGATTTGGAGATCTAAAGTTCACTGATGAGGTTCCACCTGTTTCAGCCTCCTCTGCTGAAGGACTCTGGAGAACAAGACTGCCCCTGACAAGGCTCTATAGAAAGCCTACTATAAAGTTCCAGGTTGCACTAAATACTTCTCCCAATTCCACTTTTCGCCTATGTCTACCCACTTTCTAGTTGTACTGAATTTATCTATGTATATGTTTCTCTATAGCAGAAGATAGAAATCCAACCCAAAAATGTCTTAACAAAAAAAATACACCCTTCACATAACCAGGGCAGGAAACCTAGGGGGATAAATAACTAACTAGACACTAGCTTCTAGCTAGTTCTAGCAACTGAATGCAGGTGATCAATAATGTCTTAAAGGTTTCTCACTCTAGCTTTCAATTCTGCTTGTTACTGCTTGACTTTATTATTCAAAAAGAATGTCCCCTTTCCACTCAGTAGGAAGATGGTCATCGGTTCCTCATACCCTTTAGTTGAGGAACCCTAAAGGAGAGAGAACCTTTCTCTATAGGCACGTGTCAATGCCTAATAATGGTCTGATTGGCCTTGTGAGAGTTTTATGCTAATCCCCAAACCAAAGGCCATGGCCAAATGAATGGAGTTATGTAATGAGTCAAACAGACCATGTATGTCAATTTGGACTCAGTTTCATATCTGTTATTTTCAATATTTATTTTGATGTTCAAATAGTCACAGGTTTGGCCATTTGGGAGCCCCTGAAAATCTAGCTTCTGTGCCTTTTGACAAATTCTTATTATTCTTTGAGTCCTTCCTTTCTTTCATTCTGCTTCAACAAGATGTTCCCAGCACCTATGTTGAAAGCAACCATTTCTCCAACAGCCCTATTTCCTTCAGTGGAGAATGGAATATAGAAGTGATTATTTGTGTTACATATTCCAATTGCTGTTGGGCTTTTACCCTTTCCAGTCCCTTTCAGTGGAAAAAGTTAGGGAATATATGTATTATGTAGATAAACATGTATGTTTATGTATATGCACATCTGTGTGCATATGTGTATATATGTATATTCTATATATATACACATATACATATATACACATACATTTAAACACATATTTCTGTATTTATCTTGAAAGCCACGAGTTCACACTTCATTGTAGTTCACTGTAGTTCACACTTCACCACAGTTCACTGTAGTTCCAGTCCAACCATAATAGTTTCCATCTTTCCATAGATATAACTCCCTTCTCTAACAATGAGAAATCTTAGTCTCATTGTCCTTAATATCTTTACTTATTTTATCCATTTCCCCCGCCCTCCCCATTGGTATGGAAGTAATTTTCCACTGTTGCTGCAATTCCTGTCCATATGTAAATATGTTCCCAATTTCCACTGGGATCCCATAAGCCATTCTGAGCAGGCCTCCCTCCTACATGAGCACAGTACTCATCCCCTGTGGGCTTGCGCTACTGCACTAGGCAGCCCTCCTGTACATGTGGTCTCTCCCCCCAATGCAAGCCCAGACTCTCAGTAACTCCAGGCCCTTGCCCACAATGTGAAAACTTACCTCATTTGCTCCAAAACAGCACCAAAAGCTTCAGAAACAGAGGGAGAAAGAGTACATCTTTTTTGAAATATTTATTTTTTAGTTGTAGTTGGACACAATACCTTCATTTTATTTATTTTTATGTGGTGCTGAGGATCGAACCCAGGGCCTTGCACGTGCTAGGTGAGAGCTCTACTGCTGAGCCACAACCCCAGTCAGTACATTTTTTTAATCGTTATTTTATTACCAAGTTTAAAAGTCATAATTCCTGTCTACATCTTTATTTTTTAAGTTAGAACATTACAGATAATCCTCGTGTCTCCTTTGACAATGAGCCCACTTTTGGTCTGTTTTGTTTTTCTCTAGAAAAACAAAACAGACCAAAAGTGCTGTTTGTTTAATAGTATATAAACAGACCAAAAGTGCTGTTTGTTTAATGGTATATAAAAATAGTAATATATTATTCTACACCTTTTTGGAGTAAGTTTACATTCATATATATGTTTTCAAGGAAAGTGTATTATACATTTTTAGGGGGTCCTCTTCCCTCCTTCTGTAGGATTTGCTATATAGAGGAAGATAAAGTATGGTATTTTATGTTTCTTTGTACCTTTAACTCCTGGCCCAGTACCTCACACATAGTGATTACTTAGTAAAACATTTATATTACTATGCTTCTTAAGCTACATTCCCAGAAGTATAATTTCTTGGTCAAAAGGTTTCTATATCTTCCAATTATAGGAAGAAATGAGGTCATATTTATTCTGCCATGAAGATTGAAAAGTACTCTGTCTCTTCAGGGCTATGAAATCATATGCTTATATATCTCATTTATTTGACTCATTATTCATTATTCAACTTAATAGGACCCCAACTCATGATATTTTATTGATGATGGCTTGATTTGCTGAATACCCCATTTTAGAACCACTCTTATTGTGGGGAAAAAGGCACAAGAGTGGCCTTTTACTTCTAACTGTCCAGGTGATTTTGACCCAGGCTAGGGTAATTAATGATAGAAAGAAATCATGGTATTTTAATTTGCTAAGTGGAATAATTCTGGTATAATGAATCCATTATGAGAAACAGAAAATTCCCATATCTCCCATGTATGTATAATATGTCAAAATACATTCTACTGTCATGTATATCTAAAAAAGAACAATTAAAAAAATTCCCATATCTCCAAACATAGCAATGATTCCAGCAAAAACATTCTTTACTCTTTGAAATACCTAAGAAAAAGCCTGCATGAAGCATCAAAAGAAGTTTTCAAGGTTAGGAAAGCACAGTTTTACCACTCCAAGCATAGGAAGGTGGTATAGCACCAAAGCTCTATGTTGACATTTAGGGAACTCTGGG